ACTTTTCATGGCTAAAATAATAACCTTTGGTGGATTATTACGACACGTGAGTTTATCTTCTGGGAAATACAACTGGATATTATGTTTCTGTAGAGTCTTACAGACCAAACATCTTTACCATGATCATTTAACAACCGGCTAGCAGAAGAGATAAACAAGGTAGGAGCTTTTTTTAAAGTAACACTTTTTCAGCATGGGAGCTACTTATTAAACAACCAAGTCAAAATGATCTACCTACCCACTAAAAAATGCAAAACCTATCACTATTTTTAAATTTATTAAGGATTCTTTTTATGTACTATGTATGTTGATGTACCTTGCATAACTGAATAAGCCAATATTGCACAACTATGGAGTCAGAAAGTGGTCAAAATGTTTGTAAACTGATAAATCTTAGTTGAAACTGAAAAAATAAAAGTTGAGTGAGGAAAAAAATAGAATAATGATATTTAATCATTTTTTTACCTAAAAATGTGAGAAACTAAAAAAGCAAACATAAAATAATAAGAATTTTATCAAAATTAAGATTAGTATTTTAATTCCACTTTTTCCTTTTATATATTTTCTTTATTGCAGCTTTAGGTTTTATATTTTCAGATTCAAATCCCTTTCTTTCAGTTTCTTTTCTTTTTTTTTGTTTCAAATTCCTTTTTCAGTTTCAGGATTTCTTTTTTACACTTTTAAATCAGTTTTTTCCACATTCAGATTTTGACCCAAAGCTGACGGGAGTGGGCGGAGTGATGACAGGTTGCAGCAGCGCTTTTGAACGGGTTCAGTCATAGTATCTTCCTTTTGTAGTACCTGCTCTCCCTCTATCTCTCCTCTCTGCTCCTCTTGCTGCGATGCACTAAGAGGAGCTCTGTTTGACTCGGCCTCACTATCCTGTTTTCCCTGTAGTGAAGAATAACGACGAAGTCAAAAGCTAAATAACCTAGATGAAGCTCATAAAAAATGAAAACAATATGCATTTCAACATCATATTTCAACTTAACATGAAATGAAACTAAATTAGTTCCCTTTTTTCCAGACCAGCCCAGTGCAGAAGAAGACAATAGTAAATATAGCTGTTAAGTATAGATATTTAATAAACTAGATAAATATGCAAATGTTATGTATGTTAGGTGAATATAGGAGTCTACAACATTACAGTAGTTGTAGATAAGAACTTTTTAAACAGAGAAGCATGGCAGGAGCACTAGGGAGGTCAGACTGATGCTGGATCAGCAGTTTAGGTTCCCCTGAAGGTGAAGGTGTCCTGTTGGCTTGATATTATACTGAGGACAATAGTCAGTCACTTGTAGGTGGGTTCAGTGGTATGCACCCTAGAAAATATTTTTATTCCATTATTTAAATCTGGCCATTTTTAGAGTTTTAATCAGCAAAAGCGACATCATTCTGACTTTTGAAAAGGCAAGGTGGTTCATTTCTCTGTTCCTCTTTCTCTGCAGGACATTTCAGGTATTATAAAGTTGCAAATGATGTCATCTATCTTTTAAAGCTTCTATCAAAGCGGTTAGAAATGTTTCACAAAAGACATTCCAGTATAATTGAAATAAGCTTCCTCATATTTACTTCAGTATTTAAAATAGACACCCAGACCCTATAACTCTATTTTGTTGATAATAGGGCCTAATCTGTTCACTCTTGTTATGGAGAGCCAGCCTTTGAACATATTACAATCTTACACAATACTTCAAGTATCATGCAAGAAACCTTTGACTTTTAAAACCTATATTGTTCACTGGTACAGTATTTCATTTTCTAGTAGCTGCTTTCCCTTTATGTCTCTCCTCACTGCTCCTTTTGCTGATTGGCCCAAAATAGGAGCTTGGTTTGACTCTGCCTTTTCCTCCCCATCCTGTTTTCCTTTTAGTTAAGAATATCAGCACAATTAAAAACTAAACTGATGGAAACGAAACAATATGCATTTCAACACATTAACATTACATGAGATTAGTTTTGCTGGTTCCAGAGCAGCTCAATGTCAAAGTATGGAATAATAAAAAATAACTTTAAATACAGTAGCAGCCATTCAAAATGACACTTCCCAGTCAAACGGCAGGCGAATGGCAGCCCTTCCCTGCAGCTCCCAGTTAAATCCCCCCAACTTCCAACCACAGGAGTGACCACCTCCTTCTCCTGGACGTGCATATTTATTTTTTACTCCGATTCCACCCTTTAACTGAATTACAGGGTCTGACCAGGAGAAGTTGCTTCTCTTCAGGTCTTAATTTCAACAAATCATGACAATATTTTAGCACAAAGACTGATGTTTAAAAAGGAACTGTAGGGGAGCAGCCAATGAGCAGCCAAGGACCCCTCAGGGAAAGTGGGGAAAGTTTGAATGGCTACTACTGTAAGTTGAAGTATAAATATCAAATAAACAATATTAGGGTCGTTAATAATAATTGTTTTGCATCGATCCAACAGCCGGCGATCCGATGCACGATACAGGTCCCTAAAAGTATCAATTCATGTTTTTTTTTGTTTTTTTTTCCTCCTGTCTATTTTTATCCATTTGCTCCTGGACGTAATTCTGACTCCCGTGCTGCAGTGGCGCTAAAACTGTTTTGTCCTCCCACCTTGCTTCCTTTAGCCACTACCCTCTTTCTGCTTGCACGCACACACACACTTGATTAAACAGTAGGCAAGACAGACATGGCGGATTCTGGAGTATCGAAAATAATCGTGTCGTTAGGTCAAGAAATTGAGGCTGAATCGAATCGCCCTGATGGGTGTGATTTACACCTCTAAACAAGATAAAATATGCACATTTAAGCAATTATATTAATGAATAAATATAGGAGTCTACAACATTACAGCAGTTGTAAATAAGATAGGGCCTTCTGAGGCTTTTTGAAGGACCATGATGACTCTTGAGTAAGGGCAACTCGGCACTGAAAATTATTTTTCATTTGGAAAATGATTTTGTTTCTGCGCACAACTTCCTGCCCTGTGTGATCTGCTCTGTGCCATCTTGCTGCATTGAGCTCCAGCATCCAGAAGAAATATAAAACTGGTTCAACATCCAACACCAACATAAACGTTTCATTTTCAGTCAAAGACGTTGTGAGCATATCAGTTGCATAATGAATGTTGATTCAAATGGTGTAAACTGACTGACGACCGGTAGCGATGGAGTTAAAGATGCCGTAGGAGATCTTGGAAAAAACGGTTCCAGCAAGCTATATTTTTGAACATAACCCAACCATGCCTCTCCCTTCAGACCAGCCCTCAGAACTAAACTAAGCATCGAAAATGAAGCAGCATGCATATTTTTGCTGCTATTGCTGCTTTAGGTGTGAACATACTATAACAGTGGCTAGCTTCTAGCCATGGCGTCCTGCACGAGAATTGAGGGGTCAATTCGTTCATGTGTCAGGGTACAAGCACAGGGGGGAGGGACAAGCAGATGACCATGATTGACGTGTCAGGAACCAATCGTGTACAACGGACCGTCTTTTGGGATTGGTGGACGTAACTCATTGATTTCTCACCATAGCGGGACCATTTATTTTAGTTTCACATCCAGACCTTCTATTTCACTGCTTGCTGGCGAAATCTTTGAGCCACATGGTGAAAATGCATCAGAAACAATATCCTACTGCACCTTTAAATAAACTTTGGTTCAGTCTTTCTTTCCTGTCTGAGTAAATTNCGGCACTGAAAATTATTTTTCATTTGGAAAATGATTTTGTTTCTGCGCACAACTTCCTGCCCTGTGTGATCTGCTCTGTGCCATCTTGCTGCATTGAGCTCCAGCATCCAGAAGAAATATAAAACTGGTTCAACATCCAACACCAACATAAACGTTTCATTTTCAGTCAAAGACGTTGTGAGCATATCAGTTGCATAATGAATGTTGATTCAAATGGTGTAAACTGACTGACGACCGGTAGCGATGGAGTTAAAGATGCCGTAGGAGATCTTGGAAAAAACGGTTCCAGCAAGCTATATTTTTGAACATAACCCAACCATGCCTCTCCCTTCAGACCAGCCCTCAGAACTAAACTAAGCATCGAAAATGAAGCAGCATGCATATTTTTGCTGCTATTGCTGCTTTAGGTGTGAACATACTATAACAGTGGCTAGCTTCTAGCCATGGCGTCCTGCACGAGAATTGAGGAGTCAATTCGTTCATGTGTCAGGGTACAAGCACAGGGGGGAGGGACAAGCAGATGACCATGATTGACGTGTCAGGAACCAATCGTGTACAATGGACCGTCTTTTGGGATTGGTGGACGTAACTCATTAATTTCTCACCATAGCGGGACCATTTATTTTAGTTTCACTTCCAGACCTTCTATTTCACTGCTTGCTGGCGAAATCTTTGAGCCACATGGTGAAAATGCATCAGAAACAATATCCTACTGCGCCTTTAAATAAACTTTGGTTCAGTCTTTCTTTCCTGTCTGAGTAAATTGCTGGGCTGAAATATTTCCTCATGAAAATGCATGTTTTTCTCACAGTCATCTACAACTTAAACTGCTCTCCTTCTTCTTTCATACCTTGATGTGCTCCTCTTCCAATGACTGCCATGACTGACGGACTCAATAACAGCTTCTGTAGCCTGTGTTTGGCAGTTACCATAGCGACAGTGCATGTTGATGATGAAGTGCAGCATGTATACGTTAATCTGACAGTAGCTCTACAAATATAAAACTAGATCATCATCCTACAGTCAGTTGCTCTGTAATATATTTTTAGGTTATATATCACAAAATAATAAATAATAAAAAAAATACAGAAGAAATGACCTTGATGTCCTCAATGATAGTTACGGCCCTGACTGTATGCGTTCTTTTTGATCTCAAATACTTTGAAGCTGAGCTTATCTGCTTAGCATTTCTCTCCTATAAAAGGATCTATGGCTTTGAGTATTGATCTGATACGATATCAGCACAAACAAAATGTGCATTTAATGCTTATTTTGTGGTGTGGAATGTCAGAAAGGGCTTGATAAAGTAATATTCCTCATTTGTTTATATTGCACAGTATCATGATGCTGTGGAACAGGAAGTACCAGGAGTTCGACCAGGTTGTGAGCTCCGTCACCACCAAAGTGAAGGGTGTGGCACAGACACCCGTACCCGGGGTCGGTGACATAGTGTGGGACGTGGTGGACTACAGCGGGCCTGTTCAGGTGGGAGTTTGTTTTCTTGGATTTGAAGATTCTTCCATATTCATCAGTGAACAGCTGTCCAAAGACCTTTATTTCTTCCTTTTTCTTTAGGACAAAAACTCCTTCTTTGTGGTGACAAATGTTATTGTGACAAAGAATCAGAAGCAGGGAAAATGCCCAGAGGTACTTTATTTTTAATTTATATGTATTTACCTTATTTGGAATGAATATTGTACCTGTGGTGCTTTTCAAGCCTTTGCTTAATCGGGAAGCGGATGCAAAGAAAACAAAACAAGCTGAAATTATATATATATATACAGTATATGATAAGGTTTTATATAAATCTGCTGACCAGGAGCATATTAAGACTTCCAGTCCTCCTGTATGGAGATCAGGTTCTTACCATTCAATGATGTGTTTGCCTTGTTTCTTTTTGTGTGGGAAATAGTTCAGTGGTTTCAATATCACTCACATCTTAAAGTTTGTTTGATTTAAAGCTCATAGTGTTCAAAGGACTCAACACCATAATAAGCCGAATCCGTGGTGCTAAACGTGCTTGTCTCTCAGGTTCCTTCCACGGGCAGACAGTGCCGCTCCGACAAGGACTGTGAAACAGGAGCCTGGGGCCAGCAGAGCCACGGTAAACTGACTGATTTTACCTCACCTGCTGCAGGTCATGTATAAAAAGGTGATGCAGCCTCTGTGTTGCACCGTCTGGCATTTATTCACAAAGATGTAGGCATGCTACAGCTGCTCCAGAAAGTCACACAGACATTTATCTGCTGCTAGAAATAGTTCATGATTAACTTGGAAGGACTTTTTTTAATAGATTTTTTAACAAAATTTTAACAAAATTCAATAACCAATAGTTTGGGTCATGTGTCGACTCTGTACCGTTTTTGTTGGTTAGATGCTGAAAAGTTTGGGAACCTCTGCAGCAGATGACCACTCCTACCCTCACACAGCTTCTGCTCCACCATCTTTTGTTAATGACTTTAGAGGAGGAGAGGAATTTCTCATGGCTGTGTTTCTTCTGCTCGGCTGTAACTCTGCAGTCAGCTGCTGGACTCGACCATAAAACAACAAACCCAGGACTTTTTTTTTCTCTGCAGGGGTTCAGACGGGATCCTGCGTCAAGTTTGACGTAATGAAGAAAACCTGTGAAGTTTTTGCATGGTGTCCGATTGAAGCCCAGACCACCCCTCCAAGGTCACAGAGTGTTTATTTCTATACACTTGATATGAGGAAACTGAATCTATTTGAACCTTTTAAACTGAAAAAGCCCTTTACTCAGTATTTTCTTTGTGTTTTTCTACTGTACATGCTGTGTAGACAGTGGTTGTTCATAGAGCTGAAACTAACAATTATTTTGCAAATCAATTAATCTGTCGATTATTTTTTTCTTTTAATCGATTAATAATCAGATAGCCGAAGGTTACTTAAAGACGATATTTTTTTTTTATCTTAAAAGCAAGATGTTTACGTATCTTTTTACAATTTTGATATAATAACTGCTCTAGGTGGGTTTTTCGGTCAACTAAAACCAAAATTGTATGTACAACTGCACTATAATAATTTCAGAAAATGTTTGGAAATAACAAGGTTTCATCTTAAAGGAATAGTACACCCAAAACATGATTAGCCTTCATTTTCTACTCACCCCCATGCTGAACAACACTCTGGAGTACTTTTTTGATATCTCAAATGCATCTGGAGATCTGGGAGGCTTCTTGCTGTCTGCTGACATTCAAATAATGGAGGTCTATGGCGCCCGAGGCAGAAAGGTCCATAAAAGTCCACAAAAAACGTGTCAATATTCCTCCATACTGCTCGTCCAATGTATTCCAAGTGTCCTGAGTGGGTAGCATCCAGAATTTACTCGAAACGAAGTCATTTAGAATGTTTTTAGAGCATAAACAGTAGTGTATAGGATTTCCTGAAAGTGCGCACATGCGCGATCCCGACGCTACGGAAGCCGGCAGACCAAACCAGCGCATTCAGCTCGGCAAAGAACTCACCCTCTTCCTCAACACTGAAGTCCTCAGACATTTTTCTTTCGTTGTTTCTTTCTTTGCACAGGTAAACAGCACATTTCTTCTTCTACGCTTGCATTATCGGCAGAGCAGACGCTGAATGCGCACTTTCATCTGGTTTGGTCTGCCGGCTTCCGTAGCGTCATGATCGCGCATGTGCGCGCTTTCAGGAAATCCTATACACTACTGTTTATGCTCTAAAAACATTCTAAATGACTTCGTTTTGAGTAAATTCTGGATGCTACCCACTCAGGACACTTGGAATACATTGGACGAGCAGTATGGAGGAATATTGACACGTTTTTTGTGGACTTTTATGGACCTTTCTGTCTCGGGCACCATAGACCTCCATTATTTGAATGTCAGCAGACAGCAAGAAGCCTCCCAGGTCTCCAGATGCATTTGAGATATCAAAAAAGTACTCCAGAGTGTTGTTCAGCATGGGGGTGAGTAGAAAATGAAGGCTAATCATGTTTTGGGTGTACTATTCCTTTAAAGGGACTCGAAGCAAAAATGGCTTGAATGGTGACGGATCAAAAGCCGTTACATGTGGGGATGGAAAAGGTCTGGGTGCTGCTGCCCTTCTCCAGGTGTCTACTGGGCAGGTCGCCGGTCAATCGCAGGGCAACACGGAGACAAACAACCATTCAAACACACAATCACATTTAAGAGAAGCCAATTAACCTATGAGTCCTGTTTTTGGACTGTTGAGGCTTTCAGACAAACAAGTGATTAGTAATTGCAAGTATTTTAAGGACATGAATATAGTAGTTGCCCTCCTGTAGATCTGTCCAAACTTCTATGAAATAACAGGATTAGTTTGATTTGAAAAAAAAAAATCAAGGCTATGTCAGTTTTTATGTAAGACTTTTTTCACAGTTTAATGTAATAAAAATGATTTCCTCAAATGTAGGCCTGCTCTGCTGGCAGCAGCTGAGAACTTCACCGTCCTCATCAAGAACAACATCAGATTTCCAGCCTTCAGCTTCATCCGGTTAGAGTCCTCCTGAAAATGTGTTTTTCCTTAACTTTTTTTGATCTGCTTTAATAAATTAGAAGCTACAGGAGTATGAAAAAGTTTGGGCATCCTTATTAATCTTGATTATTTTTATTTCTAAATATTTGAGTGTTTGCAACAGCTATTTCAGCTTGATATATCTAATAATTGATGGACACAGTAATATTTCAGTATTGAATTGAGGTTTATTGGACTAACAGAAAATCTGCAACATGCATTAAAACAAAACTTGAAAGATGCAAAAATATGGGTACCCAAATCATTTTATTGATTTGAATACCATGAACTACTTTTCACTGACTTACTTAAACACAAAATTGGTTTTGTAAGTTCATTAAGATTTGAACTTCATAGCCAGGTGTATCCAATCATGAGAAAATGTATTTAAGGTGGCTGGTTGCAAGTTGTTCTCCTGTTTGACTCTCCTCTGAAGATTCATCATGTGCACCTCAAAACAACTTTCACATGATCTGAAAACAAAGATTGTTCAACAGAGTCGTTCAACGGAAGGATACAAAAAGTTGTTTTGGAGATTTAAACTGTCAGTTTCCACTGTAAGGAACATAGTAAGGAAATGGAAGACCACAGGGACAGTTCTAGTTAAGTCCAGGAGTGGCAGGTCAAGACAAATATCAGAGAGGAAGAAAAGAAGAATGGGGAGAATGGTCAAGGACAACCCACAGATAACCTCCAAAGACCTGCAGGTTCATCTTGCATCTTCAACAATTCAGCGCACTTTGCACCAGGAGAAGCTGTATAGGAGAGTGATGCGACAGAAGCCTTTTTCTGCAAGCATGCCGCTTACAGAATCGCTTGAGGTATGCAAAAGCACATTTGGACAATGCAGCTTTATTTTGGTATAAGGTCATGTGGACTGATAAGACAAAGATTGAGTTGTTTGGTCATAAAAAAGGTGTTATGAATGGCGCCAAAAAAAAAAAGTGTTCGAAGAAAAACACTTTCTACCCACTGTCAAGTTTGGGGCTGCGTTGCCAATGCTGGCACTGGGAATCTTGTCAAAGTTAAGGGTCGCATGGATTCCACTCGATATCAGCAGATTCTTGAAAATAATGTTCAAGAATCAGTTACGAAGTAGAAGTTATGCCAGGTTGGATATTTCAGCAAAACAATGATCTAAAGCAGCGCTCCAAATCTACTCAGGCATTCAACTACAATGCTCTGGAATGGCCATCCCAATCTCCAGACCTTAATATCCTTTAAACATCTGTGGGATGATTTGAAGCAGGCTGTCCATGCTCGGCGACCATCAAACTTAACTGAACTGAAATTGTTTTGCAAAGAGAAATGGCAGTTGTTTTTGCAAAAGGAGGATCTGCTAAATATGAATGTCTCTTTTTTGCTGAGGTTCCTCTATTTTTGCGCCTGTAAAATTTTGTTTTAATGCGTACTGCATATTTTTAGTTAGTCCAATAAACCTCAATTCAATATTGAAGTGTTACTGTTTCCATCAGTTATTAGATATATCAAAATGAAATTTCTGTCACAAACAACCAAATATTTAGAAATGAAAATAAAGAGAAATGGGGGTGCCCAAACATTTTCATATGACTGTACATGAGCCTTGAAAAGTACATTGGTTTAAAAGTTTATTTTCTACCAAGTTTTTTCATGAAGGTCAGTTTCTTCTGGCATTTAGATCCACTGACTCTAGAATCTGTTTCCCAGTCGGAACATCCTTCCCCAGATGAACGATGCGTATCTGAGGAGCTGCCACAGAGGGAATGACTCTCTCTGCCCCATCTTCAGACTCGGAGATATGGTTCGAGAGGCCGGGGAGAAGTTCTCCGACATGGCCGTGGAGGTAGGGATGTTCTGCTTAAACCGTCCTTCCTCTCTTTGTGGCTTAAAAATATGTTTTGAACATTTTTAGTTGGATGGTGTGACTGTCGAGCCTGGCATTTCTTACTTTTTCCTTTTTGGGCCCCTTTTTTGTCATCAGGGAGAAATGAAACTAATGGTAGACATAAAAAACAGGAAGACACCATCTTCAGCTTTCGCTGACAAATGGCAGTGTCATTGTATGTTTAAAGTTGGGCTATACTGTGTTGTAATCTCTTTATTATGATTTCCTACATCAGTATAAGGTATACTTTATTTGTCTTGCAAGGAGAAATTCATTGTCAAAACGGCAGACTGGCTGCAAAGGTTGAGAAAGGTGCAAGAGAAATTAAAATAGGAAGGCATGAAGACATCTATATATAGGTTTGCCCTTTAAATAGAATTAAATGTGGACTGGTGGAGGAGGTGGTGGTCTTCTCCTAAAGTAAATCACCGTACTCTTGTTGCCCTTTAGGCGTGGTTGGTTGCACTCACACCAATCCACAAAGTCGAGGATGCCGTCCGGTACTGCCTCTTTTTTCCTCAAACACACAACCGAGTTTGGCTGAGTCATCAGAGACTTTTTGAAGAGGAGAGCTATCAAAGATGTGGGTGAAGTCCGCTGTCTGAAGCGGGAAGAGTAAAATAGAAAGGACAATGTTTTGAGGGCTCTCACTTCTACCACTTCTGGAGGACAGACTTGATTGGTCAGTGAGATATCAGGGGTCCAGGCAGTAGGATGTTTGTCCTCTCTGGTTTTGTTCCAACTCTTCCTGCAGCAGTGCCAGTCTATTGGTGTTGAAAGCTAAGGAGAGGTCAGAGTTCATGACTCTCGTCTGCAGCAGTGTCGTTCCAATGTTGGGCTGATACATAAACCGCACTGGGGTCTCTGTTTGGTTCACTACGGTGCAGAGATGGCTTAGAATGAGGCGCTGTAGTCTTCACGATAGTCCATTAAAGTAACAGTTTAGTTTGTCTCCCAACTTCTGTTCTCCATCAGTGGTCCCACTGGCATCCTGTCCAAACCCAGATATATTCTAATCCATCTATAGACATCTTGGACGTCATGTTTGGCCAGCAGCTCCACCATATTTCTCCAATACTCCTTATCTAGTATCTCGGTCATAATGTCTCCCCACTGCAACATGCTATTGGTCTGATTTTACCTTATATTTGATCTTTCCCTCAATTAAGAATCAGCTATTTTTTTCTTTTTTTACGCTGATAAATATAATTTGAAAATAGTTACATTGAAAGATTTATCTGATCTGTTATCTTTAAAGTGGAGGTCTTCAACAGGGGGTCCATGGAGGTACTGTACGGGGGTCGCGAAAGTTTTGGTTGATTAGACTTTCTTTTTTTTTTTTTTATATTCCCCCTGCAATTTTTCCACTAATTGAAATGTCTTCAAATACGCATTGACATGAATTAAACACACTGCAGTAAACAGATAAATGGAGGCAGAAGATGTCTTCCAGTCATCAATGCACACATTCAGTGACACACAGGAGATCTTTCAAGCTGGGAACCGTTTCATTCACAACACCTGTCCCATCAACCAGGAATCAGAATCAGAAATACTTTAATAATCCCAGGGAGAAATTACTTTCATTATATGAATCCATCTGTTATAGAGTGACTATAGGACCAGTTTGATAATAACACAATTTCATACAATATATATAATTAGGGGGTAACCGCTCCATCTCACCAACAGTTTGGGGGTCCTTGGCCAGGAGAATATTTAAGACCCCTGCTTTACAGATAATTGCAGTCTTTGTAATTGGGAAATATGTTTTAAAAATCAGGAAAAAGAAGGTATCTGTGAACAAAGCCTACAGTTTAGGTGAAAACAAAACATTTCAGTTATCTTCATTGCAAAATACCAAACCAAATAGTATTCGGTTTAGTATTTAGTTTGGAGCTAAATATTCATTTAACAAACTAAATATTTAATTTGTAAACTAAATATTTATTTAAAAAAGAAAGATTTTCATAAATTAGTGAATGACATAGTGCAAAAATGACTTGGGGGGGGGGATAAACCCCTTATTTTTCTCTGAAAATACGCTAAAGAACCATAAATATTGCTCCTAATCATAGAGGACAGCCCCCAAGGCAAAATGTTCATATTTGAATAATCTGAGATTCTTTCCCCCATTGATCACAGGGGGGCGTCATCGGCATACAGATCAAATGGGACTGTAACCTGGACCGGCTCATGCAGCGCTGCCTCCCTACATATTCCTTTAGGCGGCTCGATGAGAAAGAAAACAACAAGACTCTGTACCCAGGCCTCAACTTCAGGTAAAGATCATGAATTCACACCTGGTCAACATGGAAACCATGAAAATAGCTCATTTGAACTTAGCAGGATCCATCTGAGGAGCATCAGCTAAGGAATATGAAATCTGTCAGGTTTAATGTAAATGAACACGATTCCTTAACCCATCTACTCTCATCAGGTTTGCAAAGTACAACATGGTGAATGGCGTTGAGGAGCGAACGCTCTACAAAGCTTTTGGAATCAGATTTGATGTCATGGTGTTTGGACAGGTTGGTTCAATAAAAATTTATTGTTGCTCCTGCACTGGAAAAACGATCTAGAAATATGAAAAATGTCTTAAATTAAGTGTATTTACCCTTAATTTGAGGAGGTAAATGAGATGATTTGCCAATGTAATGAGTATTTTTAAACTTAAAATAAGATATTTAGATAAAATGCACTGGAAATAAGGCAAAATAATTGTGTTTTCTTATTTTAAATGTAAATTGTCTTGTTCCATTGGCTAAATGTCTCTTTTACCTCCTCATTTCAATGTTTTTTTATCCAGTCTGTTCTTTCATTCAAGTGCAAAAAAAAGTCAATAGCAGAAACAATTTAATCTTTATCAAGCAGATTTTTTCTGATATGTTCGAATGTATTATTCTTCAAGTATATTTTCTTTATCAGATTACTAAGTAGTGTTTTTATTAACCATCACATGGTTGAGTGAAAAACAATCCAGCTCATTGTCTGGGATTCATAGCGTCTTTTAAAAATGTGAACTGAAAGGCAAAGAGGTGCAGTGCATTCAGGTATACAGTCTTCAACTGAGTTTTAATCTGAATAATGTCTCCGACCTTTCATACAGGTCAGCTTTTTCAAATTGTATGACTAAAATGTATCCTGTCAGGGAAAAGGATTTAATGTGTCGCTGAATTAATGAAGATTTCCTCAGATTCTGTTACATTTCTAGCAAAACATTTTGAACTATTGGAAATGTTGCTCTGTTGAATACTTGTGTGTATATGTTATCTTTAGACTCTGAATTCCTAAATATGCACGAGGGTATCCAAAGCGCAACCTTGGAACAACACGCACCCCAGGAATGATTTTATGCGGCACTTACTGTCAATTAAAGGATGGCATAAAATTGTTTGTTTATACAGATAAAATTTGTTTGGGTATAAGCACTGATTGAAAGACTTTAAAGAAAAGATATAGGCAAATATAAAAACAAACAAATTTTACTGTGTAAAATGTAGAGTGAAAAGTAGACTATTGTTTATTAAACATGGCTAAACAAGGCAATATTATTAATTTATTTTTTATTTATTTTTTCTCCAGCCGAACCTATGAAACACTCTTATGTTTTACAAAATTAGACTGAATTTCTGTTTTATTGTCTCATTATTATTAAACAGGTACAACAAAAATATACTTTGCAATTTTGATTAAAAAAAAATCAGAAATTCAACTGCAAATATCAACTTTTAATTTCTGCCAATAGTGGGTTGGTTATATTACAGTCAGATCCATTAGAAGACGTACTTTGTCTGTAAAATGATGGGTGCCGACGTTTCCGCCTTGAGGAACTCCTGAGCTTTCTGTTTCTAAAGCTTTGGGTGACAGTGAAATGAAACCTAACGGTTTGTTTTGTTTCAGGCAGGGAAGTTCAGCTTCATTCAGCTCATCATCTACATTGGTTCAACTCTGTCATACTATGCTCTGGTGAGAAATCACACACATTCACTGCTAAACACATTCATTGATGGCAACAACAGATAGTAACGGATATGAAACACGTCAATCACTGATCAGTAATGTTTTAGACATGTCTAGAAAAACGCTTGTAAATCATTTTTCCAACTCTAGATTTTACGAAAGGGTCAGTATTTACTAAGGTTATACTGTACACCATTGCAGTTGTTTTTTTTATATCCTCAGACAACGGTTTTTATCGACTGGCTACTGGAAACCAGTTGCTATTCTGCAGAGGTTGGACAGAACTACTCTGAGAAGAAAGTGGAATCAGTTCAAGACACACAGCAGGTGACGATCTGACCCGGTGACTTTAGTAAGAGAAGTCCATCTACTCCAACTGACTCTGTGTTGCAGTGCATCCTCTGCGTGTCATTTGTTGATGAAAAGAAGCTTCGGCTGGTGAAGAGATCACGCAAGAAAAGTCTCCAAGACCTAAAACCGATGTGTGTTCAGCCAATCAAGGTAACCCATGCTCAGTAGTTCAGTAAGATATCATAGCAGGGCAGGTTCAGACCTGCATGAATCACTTCTAGAAATTTAGATTATTACGTAATATAATCCCTTTAGTACTTTTTATTCCTCAGCTAAATTAATCCAATCATGATCAGAAATGTATACGGATGTTTTAAGGGTCTAAAATCGCACAAAATCAGCGGCAAAGAAAATTTCAAAAATGTCAAATCGATAGAATGATGTTAAAAACATGATGAAGACTGTATTTATTCTATGTGCTTTTTACATTCCATGCCAGGATTTCTGATCACTGTTTAGTATAAACCCTTTTTAAACACAATTTACGGTAAATGTTCTTTGATTTTATGACCTAAAAGTTTATAAAAACGCAGAGTTATAGACTGGTTGTCAAGCACTGCTTTCCCTGATTGGCTGACTGTCTTTCAGATTGAGGCGAAAATTAAAACAATGTTATTATTTTGGTGGTAATATGTAGTGAAGATGACTGTTCTAGTTATGTGTGTTAAATTAGCTGAGAGATTTTTATTTTTTGGAATGTGGTAAACATACTGAAAAACAAAATGGGATGCATTTTTTATTAACCATGAAACTCTTGGATAATTGTCAAACGACCTCTCACTTATTAGCTATAGCTCTGTTATTGTCACAAATTCACATTGCAGGCCTTGATGCTCATTTCCAATTAGATATGGTCATGTGAACAGCCGCAGAAAAAATCTGAAGAAATTTGAATTGACCCTCAAGACCTGCAGTGTGAACATAGCCATATACCCCATTTACACTACCCTTGAAAAACCAATCCATGCCGAGACCGGTCCGAGCTCGGATCAGTTAACCAGGCCGAGCTCGGTTCTGACGACCATTTACACATCACGCTCTCTCGGTTCCTCGACTCCTCGCCTCCTAGTGACGATCTGCGGTATTACTGCCAGTATTAAAGGAGGGAATCAAGCAGTTGGTGGCAGTAATGCACCAAAAGTTGTTTGCCAACCGCCATAAAACACAAGAAGACGAAGAAGGAGGGAATCAAGCAAATCAAAATGGCGGCGCCTGTCACATTCAGAAAGTTATGCTTGATTATTATTGCTGTACTTCGGTGTTTGCTTCTGAAGCCAATATTTAAAATGTTGCATGGAGAAGATTAGTTTATAGTTGTTGTTCTTCTGTTTTGTGTTGGTTGGCAAGCAACTTCCAGAGGGGCATTACCGCCTACTACTGGAACGGAGTGTGAATTGGGATGTGCAGCCAGACGGAGATGACGTGTTCTGCTCATTCACTCTTGTTATCAGAGATCCGAGCCAGCGAAAAGCCGAGCCGAGCCCACCTCTGGAACCGGTCTGCAGTTAGCGGGGTCCGGGTTGTGTCTAGCTCGCTTCAGTTCAGTTTGCTTTCCATTTACACACAATAAGTTATCTCGGTTACTGAGGTTTTTCAAGCGTAGTGTAAATTGGGTAATAGTGTCCCTGAAGTGACCAGTGTGCAGGAAAACAATAACAATTCATATCAAACAACGCTCAGAGCAGAAGTGACCCACATGCACAGAGAAATGATAACACATTTCAGAAGCCAGCATCTATGGATGGATTTAAAGCTGTTAAGCAGTGGAAGTAGCCGAATGATATAGCAGACGATGCGAGAAAGGAGACTGAGAAGAAAGAGAGCTAATTTATTAACTATAGCTTTTGAAGCATCAGTAGCAGTGATATGACCTGGGAGAAATACGTGGGTGTTTATATATATATAACATATATAATATATGACCCCTCAACTTTCTTTTGGATGTGCACCCAAATGTTTAATAACTCCAAAGTTTTGTTGTCCCTCCACTGTAGACCTCGGTCTATATCATGCTCCATGTTTGTTGTAATTATTTTTAGTTCTACGCTGTCAGCAGAGGAACATCATCCTCTTACTTATTCCAAAATGGGCAAAACTGTAGTCACATTTCAAATGATCCAAAACGTATCGGACTTAAAACCTTATACAGATTGGATTTGAAAAAGTCAGATTATATGGGATTATTACACAGTCCGGAACAATTTCACCTGCCTCACTTTACGGCAGAAAAAGTCAGATTTGGGCCACAATTTGTCTGCTCTGTGAATGACCTGTTTGACCTGAAAGTACCAAGGAACTCTCAAAAGACTGGCCCAGAGCACAGCATCTGTTTTCTGTATTAACGTTTCGCTTTACGACCCCAAGCCAGCTGATGGATAAACCGACTCGATGTTCTCTGGTTTGTAGTGACTGTTTCTGATCCAAATAGTTTTATCTTTCTATGAGGAAAGAAACCAGACATGACTAAAAAAATGGAAACATGAGCACATTACCCGCGTTCTCCATTCACTACACTGGCTTCCCATCCCCACCAGGATAGAATACAAGGTCTCCCTCCTCACACATCAATGCATCCATGGACATGCCCCCCCCTACCTCAAAGAACTTATCAAGCCACAGAACACGTCCCGCTCCCTTCGCTCTACTCACTCAAACCTGCTCCACACTCCCAGAACCAGACTCAGGACAATGGGAGATAGAGCATTTTGTGCTGCTGCCCCACGTCTGTGGAATTCCCTCCCTGACACCTTGAGGGCACCTCAGTCCACTGAGTGTTTTAAAAAAGGCCCTAAAACATTTCTTTTTAGCAAAACTTTTGGTCCCCCTTAGATGTTTCTTTTTTTCTCTTTTAAAACAGCTTTTATTATTTTATATTATTTTATTTGTTTTATCTCTATGTATTGCTTTTTTAAATGCTTTTTTGTAGCACTTTGAGGCCTTTTTGGTGAAAAGTGCATTATAAATTAAATGTATTATTATTATTATTATTAAAAATGTCTGATTTAGACTAAATGAAATAAAGTAGAGGTGTGAGGATTCCTTTTGAGGTGAAGCTCACATTATAATTTATTGTTAAACTCTTTAAATCCACTCACCGTCCAAACTGGAAAACATTGGATGAATAAAATAATCTTGTGTACCTGAAGAGGAGCCCAGCATTTTACATTAAGCGGTAAAGAAAGGCTTTATTTTATCAGCATATGACTGAACTGCATATTTTCACATAAAAGCACCAAAAAAAAAAAAAGTTAAAAAGTTCCTGAGCATTTCACCTGCATTTACCTGATGCTACTTTCCTGCCCTCATCAGCCACTTCAATTCTGATTTGGTAATAAAAATCTCAGGATTATTTCTTCTGAAACTGCAGATTTCCTAAACCATTTTGTTTCTCCCAATAGGAGGACTCAGGCCACCTTGGAGCCGTTCTCTGTGGCTTACAGCCGGATGTCCATATGGACCATAATGCTCAGGTTCCTGTGGGCCAGAAACCAGACCCCGACCAGAAACTGCGCCGTCCAGGCTGGTGTCAATGTGGCTGCTGCATTCCCTCTACTGTCCCCCATGAACAGCTGTGCTGCAGGCGGAGTGAAGGGACCTGCATCACCTCGTCTCTTCCGTTTAAACAGCTGGTGTTAGGCCGTTCATTGCTGCAGGCCATCCTCCTATACCAGGATCCTTTGTCTCCCCCTGTTGGTGGGGCTCAGAGTGCCGCCCTGCGTCATTGTGCCTACAAACAATACATCAGCTGGAGATTTGGGGTCCCACCTGATGACACCCATCCAGTTATCCCCAGCTGCTGTGTGAGTAGGATCAGGGAGGAGTATCCAAGTCAAGACGGACGGTACCGTGGCTTCACACCCATGAGGATGGTCTCCATTGCGCCTTAAAATAATACAGCGAAAGTCAAAGTCCCTCTAAGTGAAAGATCTGCTAAAAGCCTGTCTTTTTTTGCAACACTGGGAAATTAAAAAGAGAAGATGCATAGTTTCATTAAGTTTGCAGAAAAAAACTATAAAAACTTTACTAAACCAATAATCCTTCAGTTTTTCAGTTCCATAAAAGTATATATATTTTTTGTCTTTTTAACATTGTTTACAAATCCTGTCTTATTGAGGTAAAATTAGGGCTTAAAGCCTTGTGGGAGACTGTGGCTTGCTAGAAAGATTAGTTGCCTTGAAACTGTGGAGTTGTGAGTTTGAATCCAGCAGCCTATGTTAGCCAGGAGCACCCTTGAAAAGGAAAAAAAAAAAGCTACTGCAAAATGAAGATATAATAAAAGGACAATGTTGATGAATGACGGCTATAGTGTTTGTCATAAATTGGAAAACCACTGTACTGCAAATCCAGATTTCTGTCTTAAAAACCCTTTCATTTAAATGCTGGATCTGGCAGTGAGAGTGAAATCTCTTGGTTTGATAAAGGAGATGTTTGAGGTTACAGTTTCCAGATCAGCTGCTTTCTGAAGTAATTTATTTCATCTGCATTTCTAAGAGTCCACTATCTCAATTCTAAATTTTGAAGATGTTGCTCAAATATTTTGATCATGAGGGCACAAAGGGGCTCTTGAGATCTAGGGATGGACAAACCTGGTCAGAACAGTGTTTTGTTTTACTTTGTATGTAAGATGGTTGTTACTTTAAAGATCTGAAAGCAGGTTTTGCCGTGGCAAAATTGTATGTATGGGAACATATATGGTGGGCCTGAAGGTTCACAGAAGCACAGAAGAGGTGAAATAAATGAGACTCAGACAAAATTGGAAATTGCAGGCTTGTAATGTCTCTTATTTGTAAAGAACTTTGTATAAATACCATTGAAGAAGAAAAATAAAATACTCTAAAAAAAAGTTTCTGTTTTTCTCGGTACCAAACAATCCACAGTAATGGATGTCTCACTATTACAATGGTTACTTCCAACCTTACCTAACACCAGAAGGAGCAGGAGGAGGTGGAGAAGCTGGTGGACTGGTACAAAGCTAACAGCCTGATCCTGAACATAGAGAAGACGAAGGAGCTCATCGTCGACTTCAGGAAGAACCGGCCTAACCATGCTCCACCGGTCATCAACAGCTCAGCTGTAGAGGTGGTCAGCAGCACCAAATTCCTGGGGGTGCACATCACAGAAACCCTCAGCTGGCCTGTAAACATCACCTAACTGGTCAAAAGGGCAAAGAAGCGCATGTACTTGAATGAGGAGAGCCCACCTTCCCCCATCCATCCTAACCACCTTCTACAGAAGCACCATAGAGAGAGCGTCCTGACCAGCTGTCTCAGTGTGGTGTGGAGGCTGCAGCGCCTCAGATTGGAAGAAGGTGAGGAGAGTAGTAAGAACTGCAGAGAAGATCATCGGGGCTCATCTTCCCTACATTAAAGACATTTCATCCCAGCCGGTAACAACATCAGCGACCCCTCACACCCCCACCATGGTCTGTGCTCCCTGCTGCCCTCTGGAAAGAGGCTTTGCAGCATCCGCTGCAGGAACCAGCAGGTTGTGCAAAAGCTTTTTTTCACTCCGCCATAAGACTGTTGAACTGTTAAAACTCTAATCAAGTCAGAAATTGAGACTCTGCATCACAGCTGAAAACATATTTGCACCACATAGGAAAGTTTCCTATCCCTTTTGATAGAACTCAACTCAGTGTTCTACTTGCACCAATGAGGAGCAGGCAGCCTGTTTCAGCAGCTCCCTTTATTTTCCTACTTTCATCTGTCTTTTCTATTATTTTATTATTTTCGTTTTTGGTGTTACCTTGTATCTAAGTACCTAGGTGTTCATCTGAATAACAAACTAGACTGCACTCACAACAGTGAGGCTCTGTACAAGAAAGGTCAGAGCAAAATCCTTCTGCTGTGGAGACAGGTCTTTTGGAGTGCAGGGGCGCTCCTAAAGACCTTCTATGACTACTAATACTAGCTCCAAGATTGTCCCTTTTTCTGGGTCTTAAGCATATACGGCCAGAGGCCTGGGGTCCAAACAAACATGACTGCGTGCGAGGTCCATGATGCAAAGTCCCGGACTGGAAGACCGCTACCTTGTAAATTTATGGAACCATAAAACGAAAATGGCTTTCGGCATGGCTCAGATCTACTTTAAGGAAGACGAGTTTGGCTGACTAGAGAAGTGGTTGGAGATCAGTCAGGGGGACTGCCCATGTATTGGTCTGGTGATCTGCCTGGACAAAACCGCAATCAAAAAGTACCTGTTCTGCCTCCTCCAGAAGGCGTGGGTGGATATGGTCTTGGATGAAAAAGTGACTATCACCAACTACGATTGCTAACGGGGTCAAAAAGGTCGTCTCATCCTATGTGTGAAGTTAGCTTGCAGCCTTCATGTGCCATGATACCGAAACAGCACTGGAGTTTTCCTGATGGAGCCTGGATGACCCTTATCTTTGAGGGGCTTATATGTGGTGAATTATCCAAAACGTTTGTGAAAATGTGAGTGGAATACAAGGGTCACAGAAGTCCTGATTATTTCTAAGTGGGAACGCCATACCAGGGTCGCCAAAGGCCTGGATTGTCATGACTTTTTATCTAAGGTCTGACCCCAAGATGCAGAAGACCAAACAGAGACACCAGGGGAAAGTTTAACAGGTTTATTAAGAGTATGGTGATGACTGAAGTACTTCTCAGAGTAGAATGAAATGAGTCGAGTGTTGCTCTGAACACTGCTCAACTGGAACTGGAAGGTGAGGGGAAGACACTGCGGTTAGTTCAGGCTCAGTGGGAAATTTGAATCTTAGGTTTAGAATTGGAGGAAAAGTTTGCAGACTCACTCTCCAGGGAAGGGTGTCCTTTATGGAATCCGGACTGTGAGGATTGTACCAGAGATTGTCCTGTTTGGTGATGGGTGAACTGGGTTACTCAGACTGCGGTTGTTCCTAGGTGAATGGAGAAGCTGACTGCCACTCAGATTTCCTGCAGTTCTTGGAACGGGCTGTAATGCAGAAGAAACCTTTGCTTGGTGTGAAGCTCAAAGTACCTCTTGGGGAAAGTGGGTCCAAACTTCCTGTTTGGAACCCCAGCTCAGTTAGAAGCTCAGTTGGACCTTCCAGAGACAGAAGGACCGAACAAATCCAGTTTGCAGGATGACTTCCTGCCGAGAGGAAGCAGGAGCAGCTGATAAATCTGTGGTAAAAACAAGCTCCCAGAGAGCTGGGACTGGCTTGGCTAAGCTCTGATCTCTCTGTAATCTCTGATCACCTGTATGCCTTTTCACATCCTGCCGGTGTGGCTGGCATCATGGAAAATATCCTGGATCTTCTGCCTGTGGTTCTGAATCGCTGATCTGATGGTATGGTTTAAGTTGACACGTGCTGTTCTCAGTGCCTCTTTATCACCAGACTTAAAAGCTGAGTTCTGTTCTTTTAGAGATTTTCTAACCTCCCTAGTCATCCAGGGTCATTGGTTTGCTCGGGTGGTGATGTTCTTTGTGAGGCTGACTACCTGAGGTGGGGGCGGGGGAGCTGCTCTGAATGCATTTTTGATATTAGAGTAAACCAGGTCTAAAGCGTTTTCACCCTGAGTTGCAAAGTCCACAGGTTGATAAACATGAGGATGCACAAGTTCTTCAAGTTAGCCTGGTTAAACAGGTACAGTGAAACAGTAAAATAGTTCCAGGTTTGATTCACAGATAGGCAGAGATCTGGCAGGAGTCCAAAGACCAGCAGGAGTCCGAAGACGGGTCAAGCAAACGGATCAGAATGGAGACAGGCAGGCTCAAAGGTCGGGAGGCAGAACGGGTCAGCATCAGGCAATTAGAAAGAGCAGTAAGCTAGAGAACTTCTCCCCACATTCTCGAACTAATCTGCCACTAATCACTGGTCTGAAGGCTGGTTAAATAAAGACTGAAGCAGGTGGATCAGATGATAGGTAATGAGAACTGAGCATAGATAAGCAGGTGGTTGAAATAAGTAATTAGACCAGACATCCGCCCTGAGATCATGACATTGTGCTTGTGCAAACTGTAGCCTCAGTTTCATGTTGTTGTCTGACAGCAGTGGCACCCGATAAGGTCTCTTGCTGCTGCAAGACATCAGACGCAAGGATTGATATGTTGTGCCTTCAAAGATGCTTTATTCCATACCTTGTTTATAACGAGTGATTATTTTAGTTACCAATGCCCTCCTATTACCACAAACCAGTCTGGTCATGCTGATCTATAGCATCAACGAGCCATTTGCTCCTCACTGGTTCTTTTCTCTTTTTCAGACCATCATCTGTAAACCATAGAGATGGTTGTACATGAAAATCTCAGTAGGTTAGCAGTTTCTGACATGGTCAGATGACAACCATGTCCAAAGTCCCCTTTTTCCCCCAGTTAATATTTTGCCAAATATCAAATGTTTATATTGGCTGGATGTGCTCTCGTCATCCTCGGACATGGGAGTTGGCTCGGAGCTCGTCTGACTGGCTGTGTGTTTCCTGGACATTTTACAGCTGCTTTTTGTATCTCTACTTCTGTCTCTTTGAACCCCAGCAGGCCTCAGCAGATGGCCACTCACACTGAGCCTGGTTCTGCGGGACTTTTCTTCCTGTTAAAAGGGAGTTTTTCCTCTCCACTGTCGCTACAAGCATGCTATATGTAAGGATTGCACTCAAGTCAATGAGTCGCTGCAATCAACTGGTTTTCCTTAGATAGAAAACTTTGAATCAATTTGACTGTATGACCTGGTGAACTGTAAAGAGCCTTGAGATGACATGTGTTGTGAATTGGCGCTATATAAATAAACGGAATTGAATTGAAAATAATATTAAAAACTCCTTTTTTTGGATTGTAACAAAAAAAATCATTTAGGAAATTGTATAATTTTTCTCACATTTTTATTGATCCAGTAAACGGTTATTTCCAATCCCTCAGATGATGCTTTAGTTCTTCCCATCCTTACACAGGACAGATGGTTTGAGGAGTTCTACTGGGACAACCTAACATTTCCATGCCTTCAGCGGAAATATTTTGAAAGTGAGGATTTGAGCTTTTGCATCTCGCTGTTGTTCTGCAACTTCTGCTGCATGTCGCTGGAGTTCAGGACGGCCTCGTGAGCTTGGTTGAACAGCTTTTCTCCCAGCTCCTTCTTCACTCGGTCTCTCCAGCCCAACAGCTTCGGTCGATCTTTGAAACCATCCACGCCCACTGCCAGAGGCTGAAAACAACATCAGAATGTAAAAAAGCAATATTTCAGCCCATGATCCAATCATCACATTTATTTTTCACTTAAAATAGAAAACTTAGAAATATCTTAAAGTTCAAATATAAGACACACGCTTATAGTTTTTAATTTGATAGTATTGCAGAAAAGCATTCCTCATTCGGTCATGTGACTGACTGAGGGATGCCATGATGTCAGTTTAGTCAGGAAGTAATCATTTTACACAGCGAGTCAATATTTAATTACCTTTGTGACTGAGTTTTTATCCTTTAACGAGGACAAATGCAAAGCAATAAGAGTCTTAGTGGTTTTATCAATTCTCGCTGGTTTAATCACCGCTGCTAAATGTTCTTTGATCTTATGCAGAGCTGATGGAAGTTCATTATCTTTCAGGACATTTTTCAGATGCTATCATTTAATTAGTTTAAACCAGAGTCTAACCTGGACTCTGACTGGTTTTGTGGTGGCTGAGTTCTGTTCGGAGCATGCTGCTGCGGCGGGGCATGAAGGCTGGCGGTCAGTGCTGGAGCCCTGTGTGTGGTGCTGGCAGTTCTGCATAGCAGGCTGTGCAGCACTGCTGTGCCTGGACAGGGAGGCGGTTCCTCGCTAACCTGACCGCAGCGAGTGATCCAAGCACTGGATTCTTTTTTCTGCCTGGGCTGGAAACATTGCCCTTCGGATGTGATTATTACTTGGTTTGGCTAATGGCTCCGGTGGGCTTCAAGCTGTGCGGTAACTCACTGTTATCCATTTTGGTTCTTGTTGTTCTGGAGCCCAGACAATAAAAGATATGGAAATCCTTCTGGAGATGCGGCTGTACTGAACTCTGCAACTAGCTAAGGTTCGTTGTTTTATGAAATAAAATATTTCCTAAAAAAATAAACAACACTTTGTATCAGCTTTATTGCCATCAGGCACTTTATCAAAGCGATAAAACAGAGAAAACAAGCCGTTGCAACTTTGGTACATTGAATCCAACTAATGGTGTGGGAGCAGGATTGATGATTAAAGAATCTGCGGTGATGTGATACAAACATAGTTTGCTGTACTGGCTTGGACGCCACAGAGTGTCCGGTTGCTTTTTTTCTAATCTATTTATTTTCCTAATCGAAATTTGACACAAAACCAGGTCCTTCAGATAATTAAGCATTCCTTTTCCATTTTAACAATCCTTTCAGAGTGCTAACAATGCTGTATACTGTGATATTCTCTCGATTTTTTGTACTTGGAGCATTTTTGGAGCAGCACTTAGACTTAGACTGTTTTATAACAAATATCGCAGAATTAATGTCAAAACCTGTGTAGTGATATAAAAATAGCACCTTTAAGGTCCATACGAATCTCCTTTAAGGAGATTAATGTTTCAGTTGCTGACCTAAAAATTATGTTTTTCTGCTATGATTCTACAAATTAAAATATTACAAAACGTATACATAAAACAGACAAAAAAAAAAGATTGAATATAATTTGCATTTGTATATGACGGGAACACAGACTGGTTCATATCTAGAAATAACTGATTAATACTACAAGTATCAGCATTGGTTGCATCTGGCTGCGTTTGTCTTAGAGCGCCATCAGTGGGGCTTGCGTACATACTACAATGTTTTAAGCGCTGCTGCCTGTGTTCATATAAGCAGTATGTACTGTGTAACAGTACAGTGTCATTTATTTCTAAATGTAAACAGAAAACAAGGTTTAAGGTTTAAATTACCTGCATCATCTCCACTATGGCCACCAGATCGGCCAGAGAGATCTTACTCCCATTGATAAACTGCTTGTTCTGGAGGAACTTTTCCTCCAGAAAGTCCAGGGACTGCTTCATATCCTCCATAGCAGCGTCCATCTTCTCCTTTGGGACCTCAGAGCCCATGACAAATGGATGCAAAGCCTGCCAAAAAAAAAAAACATTGATAAAACTCAGGTAAGAACAGCAGTTTCTTATACTCCGGCTTCTTATACTTATACTTAGTTATTCTGAACTTTGGTTATTTGCTAATATAAGAAAAGAGTCACTCACTCTCATGCAATAGTACCAGTAAACCAAAATTCAGTAATTGGATTAAGGAAATATCCACAACCTTGCCAATGGAAAATATTACTTTGATTATTAAAGGAAAATTATCCCTATTTCAGAATATTTGGGGTCCTTTTATGGAATATATTGAAAACATGGATATGGTGTCAGGGGTGAATTATAGTTGCAGCTGGTCTCCTGGAGTGTCCTGAAATAATCTTTATTTGCATACCCGACAATTTTACATTGAATCATACATTTGAATTTGTATTTTCTGAACTATATAATACTAAAACAATTTGGGCTAATCTTTTGGAAATAGAGGAACCATCATTATTGTAATTGGGTTTTTTTTCCAGGGGGATGTTGGGGAATGTTTTTTTTTTTTTTTTCTCATATGCTTTGTGTATAATAAATATTGCTCTAAAATATCCTTTAACGACGTGGTTTACAATGTTGTGCCATAAACCATGATAATAATCTTGGACATTGAGAACCAAAGCCCCTGTTTCATCTTAACTTCGCATCGGAAGAGGACAAAACCTTGGTGCCAGGCCCAAAGGCTCAGATCTCCAGAATGACCAAGGATAAGTCATGATGGTTGACATTTCAGAACCAAAATGCTGCAAAATATAATTCTTGCAAAGCATTTCTCTGAGTTTCTGAACTTCCAGAGCTGGTCTGGAGGGGAAGGTCTCCTGAAGAAGCTGTCCTCTTAGTGTGGGCCACATGGAACAAAGTAACCCCCCTTTGCTGTGAGAAATGCCTTGCTAAGCTGCTGATGGATGAAAACTCAAACTTTCCAAAATGGACAAGAACAGAGGTATAAGGTCTGGCACAGTTAGGGACAAACTCTAGTTAAACAATATGTTTTTGATTATTTTGATCATTTCAGGTTTACTGATGAGTAAAGACAGAATAACATAAAGTTAATAGGATGGACTGCATGCTATGCTATGCTACAGTAATATGTTTGAGCTGTTGTTGAAGCTTTATTTCACTAAGGCTTTAAACACTGATGTAACATTAGTGTTCATGTGTTTTCTCAAATGCTCATTACATTTCCATTACCAAGTATGACCAAGAGTCATTTAGTGGAATCCTCATGTCTATTCGCTGCTAGCTATTAAGAGGGTAAAGAATAATTTAACTAAAGGTTATTGGTTCCTGATTAAGTAAATCATTTAAAATAAAACATTATTTGGCCAAATAAAGTTGTCATGTCTTGGTTGTGGTTTAGAGGACCCAAATGTAGAGGCAGAGAGGCTGAGGTGATTTCTTGTAGTTTAATGTAGACACTAATAACAGAGGCAAAATCCAAAAGTCCAACTAAAATGTAACACAGACCAGAACCATGGAGACATCAGGGGAAAACACGCACAAGGAGCCAGGGAGAGACAAGGTGAGAGGACAACAGTGACGACAGGAACAGCAACAACCAGGAACCAACAAGGAGTGACAGCAGAGGGAGAGTATATGTAGCTGACTGAGACAAAGGCAGGGATAACGTACGGAGCCCCTCTGATGACATGGTCAAAAAAATTTTTAATTGTGGCCACGAAGTAGTATTTCGTGCGCACGAAATACTACTTCGTGGCCACGCAACAAGTATAACGTGCGCACGAAATACTTATTAATAATATTAATATCATTACTGGACAACTGGGTAAGCAAATCGAGCGCGCCTTCTCTAAGGTCTAAGGCGCGCTTGATTTGCTTACCCAGTTGTCCAGGAATGATATTAATATTATTTTTATTTTCGTGCGCACGTTAAACTTATTGCGTGGCCACGAAGTAGTATTTCGTGCGCACGAAATACTACTTCGTGGCCACAATTAAACATTTTTTTTTTGACCATGTCATCAGAGGGGCTCCGTACTAACGAGCTGACAAGGAGCAGGTGTGAGAGGAGACAACGAGGGAGCCAAGGGGAAAGGAAAACACACAAGAGGGTAACAGAGGAAAACAACAGAAAAACCTGAGAACTAACATAAATCTAGAAACTACAACAAAATAGGAATTAAACTAATAAAACTAGGAAACATGGAGCAAAGTAAAGGACAACAGAACCAAAACCATGACAAATGTTTTACTCACGTCATGGATTTGCATTGTGAATTGGTCTGAAAACATTCAAATCGCTCTAAATTAGTGAAAAGCTAATTTGATCATATCCAAAAATTCTTCCAGATAAACTTTGGTTTTCTAACAAAATAATCCATCTTAAACTGTAATATGGTTTTTAATCATGTTCTCCTTCCTCTTTGCACATAGTAGTTTAGTTTAGTTGAGTTTTACTTGTTTTAGTCAAGAGTTTTTTAACTGAAACATGTTTGACTTGGAGCTGAATGAGTTTTGTTAATAAACTTATATTTTGAAAAGAAGGTTGTGGTGAATTTATTCAATGTATGTGCAGAATTATCTGTTGACCACGATTAGAGCTCGATTCACACTTTTGTTTGTTGTTCTAACACACAGCTAGTAGGGTGTGTGTTCCTAAACAATATATGACAGTCCGAATAACATCTAATCAAATAACATATTTAGCACCCCTACCAGGATGGGTAATAAACATCTTAAAGTATCACAACATTATCCTCTGTAAGGAGTCCTTTCTGTGTGCTTTCATTATGCAGGTCGCAGATGAACGGTCTTTCGGCGAATCTGACAGCCCCTCCCCGAACTGACAGTGCGCCGACTCTCCTTTTAACTGATTCTGCTTATGAAATCTGAATCGTCCGGCTATGACCAGTGGCATCGGTTAGAAATGTTTGTGGAGAACCTCTGAGGTGCGCAACAAATTATACCTTTTCGCTCCATTACGCCCAGTAACACAACAACTTTCCTCTCATCCTCTTCTTTGTTAGCCCGACAGTACTGTTTCAACTCGCTCCACGTGTTTTGTCCAGTCCTCTGTGCCGTTTTCAAAAATGTTTATTCGTCCAACGCCTCTTGACATTTTTCGTGTGGTGTTCTTTACTCACTTTCTCTTCGTTGGTCATTGGATAGCAAGCCACATTAGTATCCAGACGGAGGATTTTTTTCCCCCTGAATTCTTGAGTTCATTAACCAATTCCTAATGATCAGTCAACGTGATCCAAATTAATTGTTTTAGCCTTTCCTGGATAATAAGTTCTCATGCTGTTAAATTTCTTGCCATGATGTGACCTGGCTACGTTGTTTCATTCATATTAGCACATAATTTGAACTTTCATTTAGTGACAACACTGTGTTTAGACAAATGTGTCAAATAACAGTCATATATGATCCTATTCAACACATTACTTCAAGGCAAACCAAACATCTTAACTGATTAAAAGAGATTAAATCAACTGAGGCTGCAGCATGGAGTCTATCTGGGACACCAACCCTGAGCAGGAAGACCTTTGAGCAGTGAAATCGAAGGTTCAAGTGCTGCCAGGACAAGTATTCACTAAGACGTGCTCGCTGCTGCAGGTCAGCTGGAAACCAGTGGTCTGCCACGGAGCATTTCTGCGCCAGGTACTGTAGGATGGCAATGCTGCAACACAAACAGAGCCAATGATTTAGAGAAAAGGATGATGATATCCTCATGTCAGCAATTTTCACTGAGACTTAAAAACGTTAAAAAAGAAAATCTATTCTCTGGAAAAAAAGACCTGGAAAGGAGAAAGTTTGTCCTTTTTTCATCCACTAAGGTTCAAACAATGTTGGATCAGACTCTGGTAGAGCAGCCTGGAATTTTATTGAAGTAGGAGTAACTGTACTTTTTGTAACATAATATCTGATCCAACAGAAGTACTCATAATAAATTTCCTTCAGAAGGCAAGTGTTTTTACTATCCTTCTCTGTGCAGGAAGAGTTTGCTTCTATTCATACACTGTGAGGACATTTCCATGCTTCTAACATTATGGGAACAGATTGGAGCTGCCTCCTTCCTCTTCCAACATGACTGTGCACCAGAGCACAAAGCAATGTCCATAAAGACATGGCTGGCAGAGTCTGATGTGGATGAACTCGACTGGTCTGCACAGAATCCTGACCTCCACCCAATATAACTAATTTGGGATGAATTACAGCTCAGTCTGAGAGTCAGGGCTTCTTGTCCAACATGCTTCTGGAAGAATGGTCAAAAATCCCCATAAACACACTCCTTAAGCTTACAGTAGCAGCCATTCCAAATTTTCCCACTTTCCTTGATGGGTCCTTGGCTGGTCCCCTACAATTACTCTTTGTACTAAAATTTTAAAAGATTCCTGGACATTAAGAGCTAAAGAGAAGCATTATCTGCTGGTCAGAACCTGTAATTCAGTTAAAGGGTGGAGTTGGAGTAAAAAAAATATGCACGCCCAGAAGAAGGAGGGGTCACTCCAGTGGCTGGAAGTTGAAGGGAAATTTGCTGGGAGCTGCAGGGAAGAGGGCTGCCATTCGGCTGTCGTTTGACTGGGAAGGGCCATGGCTGATACTTTATTAGCAGCCTTCCCAGAGGAGTTGATGCAAAGGGTGGACTGACGTCATACTGAACCCCTATTAGGAATGCGATATCACTTACAGTTAGCTCAAATGTGATTCACCTGAGGCAGGTGAGCAAATACTTTAGGCAGTATACTGTTTGAAACAGATGCCTTTAGCTTAGCTCCATGGGTCTTTGTGAGGGAGGTGGTTCATGAACTAAATCAGTGAGCTGGCTTTCAAAGACATAAAGCGCTAAATACCTGCTTGATGGGTGAACAAACATGAGGTTCTGGGTTTTAGGTTAAAGGCTACAAGCAGCACAATGGGCTCCATGAAAGAATCATTTATACGAACAAATTAATTCTTAAATTGTTCATGCAAGCAACTGAGGAGAAAGTGCTGCATTCACCATTTTTTTGCTTTTTGTAATCGTCTTTCAGGTACAAGCCAAGTTTTAGACTGCGACAGACTTGACGTATAGAGCATCTTGCGTAATCAGTCAGTTGTCAAACCGAGTTTTTCACTAAATTACTACTTTTATTGTTTCTTAGAAGCTATTTCATTTTATTTTACTAGGCTACATTAATATAAAATATCCATTTCTGCAATTATAAATTACATTTATATTGGCCAACAAAACTAAACCTGCAGTTAGCATGTCCGTTTCCAGGGGACTATGGTTAAATTTGTCATTTCATCAAAAGACAAAACAGTCCGAGATCAAGCTACTATTGAAATGACAACTGGAAAAGAAAATGGATTAAAAGTTCAGCAAAGCTCCTCTAATGGAAACACATGAAATCATTGAACTCCTTTGCAGCTCCTTGGCTTTGTTTTTACTCTAAATGTGGATGTTTGGGTCTGTCTGAATTCATCAAGTTAGAGTTTCACTGTTAACATCATTTTGTTGATGTGATGTATGTGAGATGAAGGGATGACAGACGTGGTCTGAAGATGTATAGTTCATGTGTGCCTGTGCATTAAAAGGAGATTTAGCAGAATGTTTTGTCTTATTGGTTGATGTTGATCTCATATTAAGCATTTACATCATATGTTGAACTTCTTGCCCCCATCAGTAGTTTTCATTGACTGTCTTGCTTTTGCTAGACATGTTTTTGATATCATTTATTTTTCATTTTATTTCATCTTTACTTTTGTAATAGTTCAACCACGTCATTTACAGCTTCCCTAATTTCACTGCTTGGTTTTTTACTGGTCCTTTAACTTTGCTGCTTAGCTCTCAGTCAGCTGACCCTCGATCTCCAAACTGGTAAAGTCTCTCTTCTTCTTCTTTAAAGCCATTTGTGTGAATGAACACCGTCTGACAAGCCCTGGAAGTCGTACCCTGATATTAAATTATTGGGGAGTTAATTATGGAGATTTACATATCTTCCAAACGCTCGCTAACTTAGCCTACACAAAGGTTGACTGCATCAGCTCTACCAGTATCATTTACAATCATGTGCTGAATTTAAGAACATTTGTTGAATCTGATGCCGTGCACTCAAAATGCTTTGTAGATCAATAATTTCTCAGATTATTCTCTGACATTTTAATCGGTAGGCTATTAAACAGAGACTGACGAGACCTTTAGAGAACAAAGTGCTGCACCATCGCTTCTACCTTTCTGTGAGAACGAAGCTGCCGTCCTTCAGAACAGGAACCTTCCTGATGATGCTAAGTTCTCCAAACTCCTTGGTGTACTGCTGTCCTGAAGTAGAAACACAAATCAAACCACAGAGCTCTTGGATTTACATCAGAATAATCTCCTCGCTAAAAAAGAAAAATAATCTGTTAAACGTAGGCTACATGTGAATATAATCGTTAGTGTCAGACTCAACATGTCTGATTAGAATAACATTATTTTACCTGCCTGGAAATGTGTTTAAAGTTGGAGAGGTAGGGGTTAATGTAACCGTACTCCACAGCTTACTGTGTTGGACTGAATACCTTTCTGGGTGAAATGTAAAAATATAAACTGAAAGCTCCCCAGAGGTTTCTATAAGTTAGTTCAGAAAAGGTTCATTAACTCCAAGTTATGTAGCACAAAGTTAATCTGCTGTCCAGATGAGGAAGTACACACATGCAGCAAATAATGTTTACACACCAGTAAGTCTGTAGGTTGTTTTCTGTCTGGGTTCATGTCTTCAGTTTGAGGTTTAATATGCAACATGAGCATTTCTTTCTAACTCGTTTATCTTACCTTGAAAAAGGTTGACCGACTTAAACTCATAAGGGATTTTCAGAGCTTCTGCAAACAGATAGACAGCACGGCATGGTGGGGAAAGCAGGTCCAGGTAGAGCTCCATGATGCTGCGGTTGCTTTGTGTCCACAATGTTCCCCTCAGTGTGCTCAATGCTCCTTCCCTACCGCGCCTGTTATCCCCAAGTGCCCCCGGGCCCCGCCTCTCCTCGCTGGAAGACTCTGATTTCTAAACAGTGGTGACAGTTCAAAGTATACCAGCTATCTGGGCTGAGGAGTTTGACCTTTGACCTTGCCTTAGTCCAACATTTTGTAAACACTCTGTTGATGATCAAATTTTTATCTGTTATGACATGCCTCTGTGTGAACTACTGCTCCTTTCATACACGGTTTACAGCAGTAATTACAATTAATTCTTTGAGACGTGATAACGAGGAAGATGGTGATCAGGGTCGAACTGCAGTCTGTAGAAGCCAGTAGGAAATGTAAGGTTAATGGTGGAGAATGCAGAGCTGATGCTTGGCCCCATAATCTGATTCTAATTACTAGAAAGTCTCATTAGTTCTTAAAACAGAAGCGTAATAAAGATCTGCAGAAATGACAAATTGGTTTAGACTTTACTGTCTAGCTTATTTCAAATTTGTAGATGTACTGGGTTAAACGTAGTAATGGTAATCTGACTGCTGTTGGATGTTTGTCGGATTGAACCGTCTTGCAGAACATTCCACTCTGCTGTTTCAGTGGGGGGGTGCAGATAACTTTTTGACTGCTAATCAAGTCTCACCAGAGCAACCAGGTCTTAGTATCACAAAGATGTTAACAGTGGGTCAGATGTCTCCACACCCTGTTCAAATAGCTGCATACTGATATGTTTTCCACATTCAGTCTGACATTTATTCTGTTGAATTTATAAGAGCACCGTCTTTGTATGTTATCTTGTGTCTTATTTGCTTGTTTACTCAGAGAAATGTCAGAGGGAAACGCAAAACTAGAATAGAACAACTCTGATCTGGGAAAATGTGAGAAATTAAAATGTGGAAACAGTCTGGTTGCATCAATATGCTCTGCCTAAAGTAATGCTCTTTATGTATTATTTTATCCACTCTCTCTGATACTCCCCAAAAATCATAATTAGTGAATCTGTCCCATACTGTAACTGTTCTGAATATTTACCAATTTCTACACTTGAACTAAAAGCTCTTATTTTGCAGAGGGATAAATTATTAGCTCCTGTTTGGCTGTGACTCCATCCTGGAGAGAAATATCAGCTGTGCTGCTACCATCAACACCGTTGTTTATAGATGTTTGAGATTAAAGCCTGTTTTTTAGGGTAGTCCTGTTTCTCTGACTGTGACTGGCTGGATGTGCTCTCTTCATCCTCTGACATGGGAGCTGGCTCAGAGCTCGTCTGCCTGGCTGAGTGTTTCCTGGATGGTGCCGCCATTTACAGCTGCTTTTTGTATCTCTGCTTCTGTCTCCTTGAACCCCAGTCGGTCTCGGCAGATGGCCGCTCACACTGAGCCTGATTCTGCTGGAGGTTTCTTTCTGTTAAAGGGGAGTTTTTCCTCTCCACTGTCGCTACAAGCATGCTGTATATAAGGATTGCATTCAAGTCAATGAGTCGATGCAATCAACTGGTTTTCCTTAGATAGAAAACTTTGAATCAATTTGACTGTAAGATCTGGTTGAACTGTAAAGTGTCTTGAGATGACATGTGTTGTGAATTGGCGTTTTATTTTATTTTATTTTATAAAATAGACTATTTATCAGAAAACCGGTATTGCTTCTATTGGCTAATTTAAAGTAAGCTTGCCTAAAGTAAGCTGGCAATGAATGAGTTAAAACTATTCCAACAGCTCAGTGGATATAAGCTATTTACCATTGATCGGACGATAGGCATTCTGCTTGCGTAAGAGTAAAACGCAAAGCTGAGAGTGGACCAATGTGCACAGCTCAAAGCTAAATAATAATAACAATGGTCCTACTTTTTTTTTTTTTAATAAGTTTGGACGCTGATTTTGTTTTATTACAGTGCCTAAGGCTGAAACTAAAAATACAGCTCAGAAAAAGCACTGGGGCTTATTTTAGCTTGAAAAGCAGCACTTTCACTTTTTTTTTTATAGATTTTTATATTATTTTAGGTTTATAAATGTTACATTTTATTATATACACAGTTTCTGGGAAAAGAAAAAGTGGAAAATCTTGCTTCATAGATGATTTGTGGATATCAAAATGCTTCAGTGTTATTCTGTGGGTCAAATAGTTGAGTAAGAAATTTGGCACATTCAGAGAGGTTTGGAGAAGTTGGTGACACCAAAGATTCAAAGCCCCACAGCTCTGGAACTGTTGTATCTATAGGTCTGAAAGTTTTTGCATTTGTGGTTGATATGATGTAGAACAAATTTAATACAACGAGACCGGCCTTTTCTCAAGCATGTCTTTATTACTGCTGTTCAAAAAATACCTATTATTTTCTATAATAAAAAAACACAACTTTGAGTCATGTTTGAATTGACGCAGCTTAGGCTGTGTTTTACTCACTCAATTTGCATTTATATATATTCAAAAACTAGAAGGTGTTAGCTTTCAAATGATGTATCACCCATGTAATTTGGGCTAACAGTTCCTCAGTTATTTAATTTTCCATTTAGGTATGCAAAATACGCAAGGATTACTTCTGCAGTTCATTAGAAAAAGTTCATTACCAAAGGATAGAGGGTTTTATTCTCACACAAAGAAAAGTGTTTAGACATGTTGGTTATCTAACAGGTTCTAGCAACAAGTGGAGGAGGGGAAGCAGCATTCCTGTCTAATTTCTAATAAAAAATACTCTAATATATCTCTTTAAAGTAAGTTAAACCCTGCAGAGGGTATAAAGGGGACGTTCCTTTCTATTCTGAATACTGAGACTCATCAGACAGGGGAACATTTCTCCAGTCTGTTATAGTTCAGTTTGGTTGAGCCTTTGTTTTACTGTAGTCTTATAGGTAACCGAAGTGGTGCCCTGCTTCTGTAGCGCTTCTACTTCATCATCTGAGCATCCAGAGAAGGTATTCTTTAAATGTCTGCAACAGTAAACCACTATTGGTTTTGATAATTAGGACTTTTTCTTTTGTGTGAGCTCTCTAAAACCTCTGGAGATGCTTTAATAAATAAGATCCTCATTTAAATAGTTCACCATCAACTCATCTCATAGCAGCCTGTTGGCTTCAACAGCTACTCCCCGTTTGAACTTGATGCTGATGCTTGAGCTCTTTTCTTAGAAGTATAAATGCTTTTTTGCAAAGCACTGCTGTCAAATGATTGGCTGATTTAATTAGAAATAGAAAATGGCAAAGGAGCGTGATATACAAAATAACTAATTACAGAATCTGTACTAGCACTACAATGCTAAAATGTAAACAAGTAAAAAAGTGTTGTTGTTTTTTTGCTTCAATTATCCTATTGTGTTGTGGATTTACTTCTTATAAAAAAGAAGAAAAACAAGATGTGGACTGGATAATAGAGGAAATTTTAGTGGGGGAAAATGTCTGTTTGAGGGAAAGAAGGAGGAGGAGAAGGAGGGGATAAAGTAAGACATAAAAAGAAGGAGGAGGAGAGGAAAGAGGCACAACAGAGCTGTATCATCAGTGTACTGGTGCTAGAGCAGAGCAGCTCCTCCTCTACCTCCTTATTTAATGCACAGTCATTACTGCATGCTAGCTTTCAGATCTGCAGGCAGAGACCAGGAATCATGGAGATGTGACCAATCAACAGACGTCTTTATCTGCACCAGTTCTGCTCCGCCTAATCCTGAAAATTTTTTTTGTCTTTAACTATTTTTTTCCTGAGTCATTTTAAGGATATGCACAATCTGCTCGGAAGATTTTTCTCTGCTGAAGTCGGAACCTGAATGGCTTTTTGTGCGTCTACACAGAGATCTCACCTCAGGATTTGTTATTGAGAGCAGGGTTTGTGATTAAGGCTCACACAGGACGACAGGTTGTTGTGCAGCATCACCACTGCTTCTTCTTTTTTAATGCTGGGATTTTTTTTCTCCTTTTTGTACACATCTTGCAGTTGTGAACATGCACACATATCCCTGCCAGCTGCAGCAGTGCAGTCTGGCTTCAATATGCATGCATCTGTGGGTAACCGCTGCCTTAAGGACAGGCTTAAAGGCTTCTCCTGTAGAAAAGATGCTGATTTAAGGCGAATGGCAGTCTAGCTTTGTTTTCTTAGCAAAGTAGACAAGGCTGTAGAGGATTGAAATTAACTTTACAGATGGGATGTGTGGACCTGAACCTGACCCTTACTTCCTGTTTTATCCAATCCCAACATGAACTCTTCCTCTAATTCAAACCAGAGCAGTTCTCCCTTGTTCTGTCTGATGGGTTATTCTCACAGCCTGGATACCTGCATACTGGAGGTGGCCATCATTCTCTTCCTAGCTGTGCTGATCATCACTGGAAATCTAGTGGTGATCTTTGTCTTCCACTGCGCTCCGCTGCTGCACCACCATAGCACCAGCCACTTCATTCAGACCATGCCGATCTGCTGGTGGGCATCAGCTGCTTGGTTCCTGCACTGTCCCTCCTTCACTACCTCCAAGACCTGAATGAGGAGCTTGCCTGCAAAGGCTTTGGCTATATTGTTTCTGTGCTAAAGGGCGTCTCAATGGCCTCACTAGCTTGTATTAGTGTGGACCGCTACATTGCCATCACCCGGCCGCTGTCCTACAGCACTTTGGTGACACCATGTCGGTTGAGGTTTTGCATCATTCTGATTTGGATTTATTCCACCCTGATATTTTTGCCTTGTTTCTTTGGCTGGGGGAAGCCAGGATACCATGGGGACATATTTCAGTGGTGCTCAGACTCTTGGAAGACAAACCCAACATTCAGCACGTTCATCGTGGCGCTGCTCTATGCCCCGGCAGCGTTCACTGTCTGCTTCACCTATGGAAGCATCTTCCGGATCTGCCGTCAGCACACCAGGGAAATCAACCAACAGCACGCACGCTTCAGATCGCAGACACAGACTATTAGGGACGTGAGGTGCGAGGGCTGCCCAGAGAAACGCTACGCCATGGTCCTCTTCCGAATCACCAGTGTCTTCTACGTGCTGTGGATGCCATACATCCTCTACTTCCTCCTTGAGAGTGGGGGTTTGTATCACCACACGGTAGCATCCTTTCTCACCACCTGGCTGGCAATTAGCAACAGTTTCTGTAACTGTCTCATCTACAGTCTCTCCAACAGTGTCTTCCGTAAAGGCCTTGGCAATCTCCTAAACCCACTGCTTCCGTCCTGTGTCGGCTGCGAAGACACCAAAAATGCTCCGCCTCCGAGCAGTCTGCAACCAGATGCTCGATACAACGTCTGAGACCCTTAAGCCACAGATTTGATTTCCAAACCATATATCTACAGCATGATGCTGTTTTTTTTTGGTCCTTAATTCAAATGCATTGAGGACCAGTTGAAGGGTGCCTGTGCAAGCACATGTTGGTCTTTTTTTTCTAAATCAGATGAAGATTAAAAAATGAGTTTGCAAAGTTTCTGCTGAGTGGTTATTAAACGTGTGATGTTACTTCATGGCTACCAGCTGCAGAGTTGGATTCACAAAGCTGAGGAAGAGACCAGACTGAACAACTATTTTATGTGTGCATGTAGAGAATAAAGTACACCCCAGCTACACTTAAGAAATCTAAAGACCTAAGCATACTGCAACCTGTTTAATCCAATTTAACATATTCCAAAAATCAAAAGTTTACTCCCAAACTTTTATATCCATGTCACAGGATAGAGGTGTTAGCTCCTGATAAGAAAACAGATGAAAAGGTTGGTTGTTCACCTTCATATGAAGCAATGATCTGCCTGACTGAGTTCAAACTAAACAGAACATCTGTGAGAAAATAGAAGGGAGTCTGCAGCAGCTCACGTGGTTCTGCATGTTTCCTTAATCTAGTGTTAAAAAAAAAAGAAAAAAGATATTGATTTATAAGTTAGCATTACCGTTTGTGTTCAACGCCCAACAAGAAGACAATGGGTTTAATTTTTTAGGAGAGATTTATTGTTCGATATGTTTCCATCTCTGGTTATCAGGAACTGATTGGTCTGATCTTTGAAATTGTAGCCTGGAGTGTGTTTTTTTTCCTCCCCACCAGTCTGCTCATGACTGGTGGAGCAAGTCCAAATGGATCTGCTGTGTTATTCATTTCAGGATTTACTGCAAGAAAAAAATAAAAAGGAACAATAGTTAATCAGTTTTTTAGGTTTGTTTTCTCAATACGCAGTTGAATCTTGGTGTTTAAAGCACTAAAGGACAACCTCTGGTTTAGATAGCTTGGGGTTTTTTCTTTGAATGAAGGCAGAAACTGGATCCTTATCTCCAGATTTTATTAGATTGGACATTATCTCATGCTTAGAGGCTTTTAAAAGTAATTTCTCCTCTCAAAGGTCTGGCAGCAATGCCTATTTATTGGTATATAAACTGCTCTGTGACCTAAGGTATAACCCTTAAAAACAGAAATGGAAAATATATCACTGTCATGGCTAAAATAATTTTGCATGGTTGATTTAAATCTCACAATTATTGCTGTAATTTTATATTTGGGTATTAATTTTGCTGCACAAAACCACATTAGGTGTTGATGTGAATGACTGTTTAAGATCTTTTTAAATTATACAGACCCATATTTATAAACTAATTAAATTGAAAAAGTATGTAGGCCTTCTTTGAATTAAAGTTGAATCTATAGTCAAAGATGGATAAAACCCTGGCTGGTTAGTGTTATTTGGTTGGAGTTTGAAACCTAGTGATAGTTCCACAGGAACTACTTATTGCACCTAATGTTTGGTCTTTAATGTTATACAGATATCACTAATTCACCTCAAGGATTCAAACAAGAGGATATTGACCAGTTATGTGAAAGTATTGCTTTCTGGGGTAGAAAGCCTGCCTCTAACCGCAGACACAGCAAATCTTGTGCTTGCTTTGATTTTTTTTTATTATTATAAAACACCATTTTGTCTTTTAAAAGAGAGAGGTTCTTCCGGGAAAAATAAAAACAGAGATTATCACAATATAATGGAACAATTTTATTGTTCTTGAAATACTTTTTCAGGTTTCCTTGAGTTTATAAGATTTATATGTTTATATATGAGATATATGTTTATAAGAGTCACTTTCGTGGTGTAGTTGGACAAGCCTGCATAAAAACTGCTAAAACTGTAAGTTGATTTACTGAGGTGGACCCTGAATAAGAAAGCAGCATCAGATTTTATCTTGCAAAATTCATACAGCATAATTGCGATATTTATATTGAAAAACATCCAAATTTAAATAGTTAGAACAAGACGCCCTATCTCTGGAACATAAAACATCAGAATTTGCATCAATTGCTCCATTTAAGCACAGAACGCTTCAGTTTGTTCTAGGAATCATTATTTCATGCATATATGTGTCACATTAAGCGTCTCATCTTTGCTCAGCTCCATGAAAACCCAAATATTCAATTAGAAATGCCCATTGTGAAAACATACTCTGATTGAATTCAAACAGTTTGTACAGTTGGAGGCTCCCACGCCCATTTACTTGATAAATAAAAAATATTGCCACCTGAATCGAATCAAACTAATGTTTCTGACCCATCCGTTACATGTCTGTACTACTTCATTCGTCAAAGAATGGAGTACAAATTAACCAGTAGAGATTTTATTGACCTTTTTTCTTCACCAACTATGTATTAGATGTTTTAAAAATATGTCCTGCTAAACCCTGAAAACTTAATTTCTCCCTTTGCATTTGGGAAAGGGACAAATGCTTATTGTAAGAACATGGAGGGTTATATAATCGCTAAAAGCAGGTTTTATTGGGAGGAGGGATAGCATAATGGTTAGAGCTAGTCTGTCATCACCGGAACTTACGTGGTTCGAATCCAACGGACTCCTCTAGGTTTGATCCAGGATCCTCCTGTGTGCAGTACAGTGAAAGCCCACTGCTGCTGTAGGGAGGACACATTTTAATCAGAATGTAGAAAAGTTTCCACTTTTGCTCTGCAGTTCATTAGAGATGGTACCAAAGGATAGAGGGTTTTATTCCCCCACATAGAAACATGTTGGTTATCTAACAGGTTATAGCACCAAGTGGAGGAGGGGAAGCAGCATTCCTGTCTATTTTCTAATAAAAAAAAACCTAATATATATCTCTATAAAGTAAGTTAAACGTTCCTTTCTATTCTGAATACTGATTTTTTTTTTTTTTTTGCCTAAAAATCTAGAGGTAAAACAAACATGGATAAATATTTGAAGAAAAGAAAACTATTATGAAAGATTCTAATATTATTTTTTTTAAATGATATTTAAAAGGCGGGACTTTCCCCAAGGAAAGTAAAAGTAGTTTAATTTGATTTGTTCTGCATCTTTAAAAGCAGTCCGATTTTTAAAGGGACTTTTCCTGGTTGAAGGCGAACCAAAATGACTAATTTCATGATTTATTACTGCAGAAACAACCATAAAGTAAATTGAATTCATCCTGTGAAAACTAGGCCAGTTTGGTTAACATAAGGGGCAGCAGAAACAGATGCCAAACCGGTTGTTTTTAAATCTACACTTGTCCAAAAGTAACCAGGTAAAAGGAAGGCAGAAAAAATTTATAGAAAAATCCTTACAGTCTCTTTGTTTTAGAATCTTAAAGCATCACTTTGTCTTCATAAAAGGTGAAGTGGATGTGACTTTTTAAAATAAATATTACAGTTTCTAAATTCCTATGCTTTCCTAATTTATTCATCAAATTTATGACCATATGTGGTTAAAACCACCGGTCTTAGTTCTCCTCTGGGAACAGGAGCCTGTCTGTGGTGTCATATGCATCTTTCCCTGTTCCTTTTTGACCTGGGAGTTGTTGCTTCTGTGCTTCATTGTATCCTTACCCCACTAAATAAAGAGGCTGGGTTCCTAATTTTGCCCCATATGGCAGCAGGTTTTCTCTGTCTAATATCACATCTTAATATGATTTAAGTTATGTGCTTGCCAGATGTATTTCTGTTTAACTTTCTCAGTGAAGTTTTGAAATAAGAGCAGAATTCATTTATAAAAAGATTTACTCAGTTGTTGTTTTTTTTTTACTGTACTTCTGTTATATATATATATAAAAAATGTTAATCTGTCCATGTTTTATTTCTGTGTTATTTTTACTGTTGAAGTGGGGGGGGGAGAGATCCTCTTTAGTTCATGATTAATGTTCAGTTTGGAGCCACGTCTGTGTCTCATGATGTTACTGGGAGTCATGAACTGATTTACTTTGTCTCTTTGTATACAGACACTGTTGCATAACCTGCTGCTGTAAACCCAAGTGAAAAATTCCCTGCTCCAAAAGGATGTGTCAGAAAAACGATAACAACCTGCAGAGAAACGCTCTAAAGTGCCTTCTCCTTTAAATGCTGCACACAGTCATTTATTTTAACCCATTTATGCAATCAGGTTAATTGTTTTCGTATTTTGTAGATGAACATATCTCACAAAATGTGCAGTTTTAAGCTGCTATGGATCGTTTGGAGTTCATGCAATACTTTTACAACTACCAAAGCATACCAAAGCAAAGTACCATAAAAGCATATTTCCTGAAATTATGGTACGATTGATTCAAGTTCAGACTTTAAGTTTGTTGATGTCTTTGGATTACTGTATTTACAGGTAATAAGAAAACGTTTCAGCTTCAGAGGCTAATTTTTTGTTAATGTTGGTTAAATGACAGAAAATAATCTCCCATGCAGCTTATTTATCGCTGATTGCTCTTCAGGTATACTCTTTATTGACAGAAAAAAACTAGCTGGGGTGCATTGTAGTAGAAGAAACATTAATTCTTTATATTTTATTGGAAAATATACATTCCAGCGCCATAATGACCAGCTATGCCATAAACCCACTGTGGACTTTTAGGCATGCTGATTTGTGAAGGGTTTATATTTCCACCTCATTGATTACCTCTATTTTTTATTTTATTTTTTTTCTGCCATGTTTTCAGATTGAAAAGTTTATATTATAGGATCAAAATAAACTGATCAAATGAAAAAACTGTCTAAGTATTTCGTTCATCAAGGGAGGAAAAAGTTATCTAATTCAAATTTTCTTGCATTTTTTTTTTTTTTACTTTTTTTTCTAATTTTTTTTTGTAATGATAAAAGAAAATTTGTGTTCTGCCTAAATTCAGCTGCCTTTTTTTTTAACAACCTGTTCTCTCCCTCACTTGGTAGAACCCACTTGTATGTGGGTCTATTTCCCCCCAGAACTGTTTATTTGTCATTTTAACCTTTGAAATGAGTGAAAACAAAATTATTCATTAACTTGAAGCATCGATTTTCATTTTATAGGCCATAGGTATCTTTAAAAAGTTACTTTTGTTTCTTTTTTTTCCTCATTCATCTCTTAATTCGAACATTCTTTATAAAAACCACTAAAGCTTATAAGAATGGTATTTGTTATTAAGTTCTTTATCTTAGTTTTAGCCATTATTAGGAGCTATTCGAGAGGGTTCAAAGAGTCCGTGGCTCTCGGGCCACAGGTTGCTGACCTGTTGTACGTGATCAACAGAAATAAAAGACTAGCAGCTGTAATTTAGTGGCTGGTCAAATGTGAGTGTCACAAATTCACAAATTTAAACTGTTCGCTTTTCCCATTTTTGCATTTCCCTGTTGTGGATCACTTTAAATAGAATTATTACCTTTGTGAAGTCTCACGTAATGCAAGAAATAAAAAAAAAAAAAAAACGCCCTAGAAGAGAATGGTTTTTATGTCTGACTGAGGTTCTGTTAATTTGAGGGGTAAACAGAAATGTGTCTCTGCTGACTGACAATAAGATACATTTACATGGACGTTCATCATGGGTCTTAGAGACATACTGGCTAACTAAGAGAGCTGCTCCAGATTAAACAAGCAAAATGACAAAACATGTATTTCCTTCATCTTCTGACATGGGAGTTGGTTCAGAGCTCGTCTTCCTGGCTGTGTGTTTCCTGGACGGGGCCGCCTTTTACAGTTGCTTTTTGTAATATCTGCTTCTGTCTCCTTGAACCCCAGTCGGCCTCGGCAGATGGCCGCTCACACTGAGCCGGAGGTTTCTTCCTGTTAAAAGGGAGTTTTTCCTCTCCACTGTCGCTGAGTCAATGAGTCGATGCAATCAACTGGTTTTCCTTAGATAGAAAACTTTGAATCAATTTGACTGTATGACCTGGTGAACTGTAAAGTGCCTTGAGATGACATGTGTTGTGAATTGGTGCTGTATAAATAAACTTTAGATTTTAATATTCAAAAGCTGTTGGGAACTGTTTGGTGTTTCTGCTTTAAAGGTTTAGTTGAGCTCAGTGTTTATTCCAAAATGTACAGAACCAGTTTGGACTTTCAGACCAAACATTCCAACCAAATATTAGTTTAGATTACTCCATCACTGCTCTGATATTGCTGGACAGTTCCTTCTGCTCCACAGAGTCCCACGGACATTTTAGACTTTCCTTTAGGTCACATGACTGCAACGACCACATGACTGTTTTTCTGTTTGCTAAGCGATCATTCTCTCACTCTCCCTGTGCTTGCACAATGTTGGTGTGTTTACTGCAGAAGCATGAATCTATTTATTGGAGAAAGCTGCAGAGAACAGATGCAGCTCAGTTAAAGCAGTCATGGCTTCAATAAGGCAAAATGGTATAATAGCTGCCATCTTTTACCTTATTACTTAAAGTTTGGTAAAATTATTAAAAAAAAATAACAAAAGAGAAATCCAGATGGAAAAATGTTTAGCCAATTCCAGAAACAATTTCTCAACTCCAGACATTATCACTCACATGGTACCTGTCTGACAACACAAAGCTGGTTAAACTGTCTTCAAAACTTCACATTTTGCCTAAAAATATACATTTCAGTGCCAAAATGATCAGGTACACCATAAACAAACATTGTACTTCTCATTCTATAAACATGTGATCTGCTTTAAACTATTCATTCACTGCAAATTAGTTATTCTTTATAAAAATTATTGTTGCCTAAAAGCTCATAACTACTTATTTGCATTAACAGTTCATGAGTGATGAGTGTTTTATTTTGTCAACATGGAGGGATTTTTTAAATCCACTTTGCTCTCCTCCTCCACATTAGAGGGTTCTTGTTCAATCTAAGGTAGCATCATACCACCCAAGGATTGAGTTGCTTTGTTTATGAGCCATTCCCAGGTGGCCATGCTGTAGTCACTGTCCTCCTGTTAACCCAAGCTTGAACTTAAGGAAAGCAGCTGAAGCCCTGATATTTTCCTTTAGGATTTACTGTTTGAGAGCAGAAATCATTTTTTCATCAGTAACAGCAAGTTATCCAACCCATGAGAAGAAAGATTACATGATGAGCTATTTGGGAAGAGCTTCACCTCCTTTCTCCACCCTCTGTAGCTTCAGCTCTTATCCTTATAGTACCCATTTATTAGCCATCCTTCCAAACAGCTTCATTGATATGCAGGAGAAAACTCCAGTCTAAGCTGAAATATTTAACATTTTACATCTTAAAGTCCTGATATGACCCTTTGCTGCTCAGTTAGTGATACATATATGTATAATCCTCAGTCCCTGATTGTTTTTATGAGGTATTTCCTTAAAACTCCAGTGGAGGCCATGTCCCCTTCATGTAAAGTTTGCTGTTGGGCGCCCATGCGAGGATCCCACAGAGCCTCTTCTCTGGCAGCTTTGATCCCTTGATTTAAAAACATGTTATGTCAGAGTTCATGTTTTCATT